CTCGCTTTCTATCTCTCTGTCTCTCTCTCTCTCTGTCTGTCTGGCGAGCGCACGTGCCCTATAGCAAAAACCTCTCCAAAAAAAAAAAAAAAGTATATGACTATTAAAACTTTCAATTTAAAGAACATTAATGTTATATGTTTGGAAACCTAGTTTACATTTTCTTAAGGATGTTTTGGCATCAAAACATATTATTTTATTCTATTTAGTTATTTCTGGTTCAAATATTCCGACACTTAAATTATGACCTAAGTTTATTCTATAATTTAACAATTAGATTTTTCTCTTTCTTTCTTTTTTTATTTTTTTAAAATGTTTTTACCATAGGGAATATGTGCTCACTGGAAAGAGACAGAGGGAGGAAAAGTGAGAAATCACCTGTCTTCCATTCTCTTGGGATTTTGCACACACACACACACACACACACACACACACACACATGGCATGTTTCTCAAGCTTCCAGGTCCAGGACTCAAATTGCAGTCAGCCATGTGGGCTGACTTAACCACTATGTGGGTGATTGGAATATTGTGAAAGTGACTTAACCACCGTGTGGGTGACTTAACCACCATGTGGGCGTTTTAACCACCATGCCACCTGCCGGGCCCCTAATTTTTCTATTTTTAAGGTTTTAAAAAATTTAACTTTGGCAGTGCCTTAGATGTTCTTTATCTCTTCCTGCTCTTAGCACCCCATATGCAATGCCTTCCCAATATCCTGCTTCTAACCTTTACCCCCTCCCACCAAATTCAGAATATGTTTCTCTGTTGAGGATGAGGTAACACTCCTGCAATGTGTCAGATCTAAGAAAGAGGTGATACCAGGCTAGACTGAAATGGTATGCAATGAAAACTCCTGTAAAGAGTTAGGGTAAGGAGGCAAAGTCGAAATTAAGGAAGTGCAGAGATGAATCACAGCAGTACATGCGTAAGTGCCCAACTCTTTCTGGAGAACACTCTGGATTCCCCAGGGTTCTGATCTCTAGTCAGGCAATTTAACGTCTGGCCAACAAGCAAACTATTCCATTTTTATCTGAGATTCTAGAAGATAATAAATAAATAATGCTTTTTGGGGAGTTTTGTTTTGTTTTTAGAGAGAGATTTTTGCTATAGGGCACATGTGCTCACTGGAGAAACAAAGAGACAGAAGATGAGAAATCACCCCTTGGGGGGATGACCATGCCAAATCCCTTCTCTTTCATTCTCCTGTTAGGATTTTGGGCACACATGCACTCGTGCCCGGCATGAGTTTTAAACTGCTGGGTCTGGGACTTGAACTGGGGTCTACTATGTGGGAGTCCAGTGACATAATGATTATGCCATCTGCTGGTTAATGCTCTTAATTCCTTTTTTTCTCTCCCTCCCACTCTTGTTTCCTTTTCCTAGAGAAAGAGGAAAATTGCTCTTTTGCCTTCCCCACAAGTAGCCAACTAACCCACTGGAGTCTGGTACAAATGTGATCACATTCTCTTACCTCCTGTTGCAAAAATAAGGTAAAGAGCGAAGTCCTGGGGACTATTTTCAATCTGTCAGTGGAAAAAAATGAACAAACATGAATTTCTAAGCCACACAGACCCCCAATTATGTATCTGTCTCCTCACTGTCATTTCTCATTTTCAGACATAAAACTTTCTCTGCTCCTCAGGGAATGAGGTAGTTTCTTAGAAGTAGATTAACTGAAAGGTGTTATGCACAAGAAAGAATCCTCCAGAACAGATCCTCCAATTTAGATCGACATGTTCATAGGTATTTTTCAGACTATTTATGGGTAAGCAGCTAAATGATAGTCAAGATGTTTATAGCTCAGCTTAGTGATAAAGATTACCTTAAATTTTTGGAGAAGTTGCTTTATTACTTCTTCAGTTCGCATGTTACTATTTATTCTGACCTTAGTTTCTGATCCAAAGGCTGGAGTGAAAATTGATGTCTAGAAAAAAGTGGTGATACAAGGTCTTAAAATTACATCGAACTAACAACAGTAAATATTTTGAGCATGGCCTTTTCAGGGGTGAAAAATAAAACCAAAACCAAAACCAACAAGGTCATCTGTCTAAAAAAACTTTAAAAATTCTTCTTCCTTATTTTTACATTTGTTCAGAATTATCTATCTTCTTAAGCAGTTGTATACTGTTTCTGGAGGAAGGGAAATAAAACATTATTTGCGGACATTCATAACACTTTTAGTAGATAATCCCATTCTTCTAGTTTAGTTTAGAATTTCAAAATAAATTAAATATTATAACTAAAAGCAAAGCAAATCAAAAGTAGCTGTTCAAATAGTTAAAATTTTAATTTGTAAAATAGATGAATGATTGTAACTGAAAAGAAAAGAAAGAAAAGCAGTGTCAATAGGCTTTTGCAATCTTACATTCCACACCTTCCTACTGGTTGGAAATACTTGTTCTACATTCTTTTTTTTTTTTTTAAGAATTATTTTATTTTAACTTTATTTATTTATTTTGATTTGAACAGAGAGGGACAGAGTGAGAGAGAGTGAGAGTGAGAAAGAGGTAAGGTGAGAAAGCAAGCTGCCAGATTTGGGACTTGAACTGCTGTCTGTCATGTGGGAGTCCAGCGCCCTTAATCCCCTCGCCACCTGCCAGCCCCAATAGTTGTTTTACAATTTTTTTAGTTTAAATTTAAATCACTGCACTTTGGTAGGTCAGTTGAGATTCACACCGAGGATTAGGGTGAAAGCACTACTAGTGGATGCTCCAGGACAATGGTTCCTACAAGTTGTTCTAATCAAGAGTTAATCTTTTAGAGAATAAAAGACCAACTGCTTTATTTGACCAGGGTTCCATGGTCAAATAAATCTGTGACACCCCTCTCAGGGATTAGAAATGCACCATAGGTCTGGCAGGTGGCTTGGTGGTTAATGCACTCAGCTCCTACATGGCAGCCATGGTTCAAGTCCCAGACCAGGTGGCTTGCTTTCTCACTTTCTCTCTCTCTCTCTCTCGTCAAATAATAATAGTAGTAACAAATGAAAAAAAGAATTCTTCCCCAAAAATGTTTTTTGCCTTAGGGCGAGAGAGAGAAGGAAAGTAGGAAAGTGAGAAATCACCCCCCAGGGGGATGGCCAGACCTCCATAATCCTTTCTCCATTCCCCTCCTGAGATCTTGGGTATGCACGTATATGTGCCTGGTGTGAGATTTAAACCACCAGGTTTGGGATGTGAGCCACAGTTGGTCATGTGGGAGTCCAGTGATGTAACTGCTATGCCATCTGCTAGCTCCTTCAGTCATTTTTAAACATTTCTCAGCAAGAATTTGGAATCCTATTGTCCAGCTCCAAGGCCCAAGCATTTAACATCTATGCTGTACTATCAGCTTAGTGCCAATTTCATTCTCAGCACAAGAGATCCTGTCTGGAAGACCCTCATTTGGAACAATGCAGTTTTCCTTCATTTATGCAAATTGCTGCAGAAGATGATGACAAAGAAAGGAGTTAATATTTCTTATTTGAAGGAGTGAGAGAGTGCCTGGCATAGTGTAAGTGCTCTTTAAGTATTTGTTAAGTGACTAGATGAATGATTGCTAAAGCATATGACATGAAAAAGATTTGAATTTTAGAAGAAAAATGATACATTTCCTAGCTTTGGCAAAGTGAAATACCTTTTAAGGGTGGTACAAAGGCACTTATAAATTTAACACATATTGAGATCATCAGATGGTATAATGGTTACATTGCTGGACTCCCACATAGTTGACTGTGGTTCAAGTCCCAGACTCAGCAGCTTAAAACTCATGCCAGGTGCATGTGCGTGCATGCCCAAAATCCTGAGAGAAGAATAGAGGAAAAGGGATTATGGAGTAGCCATTTCCCCTAGGGGGTGATTTCTCACTTTCTGTCTCTGTCTCTCCAGTGAGTGCACGTGCCCTATAGCAAAGATCTCTCTCAAAATAAATAAATAAATAATACATGTTAAGTGAAAAATTAGAATATAAATTGCATCTAAACTACTATTTACATAAAAATATATGTGTGTAGTACAAGATCTAAAGGGAACAAGCAAAATGAGAAGTTTGATTTATTGGAATAAATAGCCTTGTGGCTGACATTTTTAAAATGTTAATGTTCAATTGTCCTTTGAACTAATATTATTGTAGCCCTTACATTATTCTGACATTATCTGTTGGTATTTTGGTTTTCCTGCCTAAGTCTGGAGTTCTGTGACTCATCTGTCTATTTTCAATGCATGGTGCCGGGCCTGCCACTCAGACAGAGCTCACCCATCACCACATTGGTTAGCTCACCCATCACCACATTGGTTAGCTCACCCATCACCACATTGGTTAGCTCACCCATCACCACATTGGTTAGCTCACCCATCACCACATTGGTTAGCTCACCCATCACCACATTGGTTAGCTCACCCATCACCACATTGGTTAGCTCACCCATCACCACATTGGTTAGCTCACCCATCACCACATTGGTTAGCTCACCCATCACCACATTGGTTAAAAACATGGGCAGGGCTAGCAGGTGGCATAGTGGCTAAGGCATTGGTTTCCACATGGCTGACCACATTTTGCGCTCTGGACCCGGTGGCTTGAAAACTATGCTCTGTGTGTGTGCATGCCCAAGAGGAGAATGGAGGAGAAGGAGTTACTACATAGCCATTACCCTGGGGGAGGAGAGCGATCTCTCATTTTCATTCTCTGCCTTTCTCTAGTGAACACACACGCTCTATGGCAAAACCTCTAAAAAGCAAACCAAAACAAACAAAAAGTGGGCTCTGGAATTAGATAAAGCTAGATTCCAGTTCAGAGCTCATATTTAAAAGTAGCATGACCTATGACAAGTTGCTTACACTTGATGAACCTCAATTAACTCATGTAAACTAGAGAAAATAATGGTTCCTGCTTCATACAATTTTTTCAGCAAACACTTAAAACACTTAGTTTAATACTTAGCACATAGAGAGTGCCCATTCAATGTTAGAGTACTACTACTATTGTACTATGTATAATTATTTTTAATTAAAAGTTGAGTTGAGTAGTATTGTTAGAGTCACCGACATTATCTTAAATTACATTAATGAATTTAAAACTCACTTCATGGTTATAGAAGTGTCCATTAATAGAGGCCCTATGGTTCTTTCTGTCTCGTCTGTCCTTCATTGGAGGCTTCACCCTTTTTCTCACCAGGGCTGCTTCACTCATAGTTCTGTAGAGCAGTGGGGATTCTGGCTCCTCATCTGCGTAGGGCTTCAGAGTACTGCTGTGATAAGACAAATAGTCTGGGAAGAATAAAGGTTATAAACCAGTATCATTTAGCTGTCTAGTTCCTTGCATCCTGGATGAACATGTGCATGCTTTCATTAATTTTAAGAATATAGCTATTTCCTGTGTGTTGGTTAAAAGCATTATAGTCCAGGGGCCAGCAGATGGCACAATGGTTACATCTCTGGACTTCTATATAGTCAACCATGGTTCAAGTCCTGGACCTGGGGACTGAAACCTCACTCTGGGGAGCCAGCAGTTAGCGTAATGGCTATGTTACTGGACTCCCACGTAGTTGACCATGGTTCACGTCCCGGACCCGGTGGCTTAAAACTCACGCCGGGTGCGTGTGCATGCGTGCCCAAGATCCCTAGAGGAGAATGGAGGAGAAGGGATTGCGGCGTGACCATCCCCCCTGGGGGGTGATTTCTCGCTTTCTGTCTCTATGTCTCCCTCTGTCTGTCTGGCAAGCGCACGCGCCCTATAGTGAAAATATCTCCAAAAAAATAATAAATAAATAAAAAAAATAAAATTCACTCTGAACATGTGTGTGTGTGCATTTCCAAAATCCCAAGAAGAAAATGGAAGAGAAGGGACTGCGACAGGGCCATCCCCCTCCTAGGGTGTGATTTCTCACTTTCTCTCTCAGTGTGTCTGTCTCTCCCTCTGGTGAGTGCATGAACCCTAAAGAAAACATCTTAAAAAAAAAGTCAAAGGAGTAGGACGCTTTGGACAGGTACTAGTCATATGTCACAGAAATACTTTATGCAAGTTTATTTCTACAATATTCCAGAGGTATGATATGAATGACCTTGCCTTTCAAGTGCCCATTCTCTTATTATTTCTTCTCACTGGATCATGCACATTTGACACTCATCCATAATCAATAACAGATGCTCCTCGACTTACAATGGAGCTACATCCCATTAGAAGTTGAACATATTAGAAGTCAAAGATGCATGTAATGCACCTAACTTACTAAACATCATAGCCTAGCCTACTTTAAACATGCCCAGAACACTTTGCATTAGCCTACAGTTGGACAAAATCATCTAATGCAGTCTATTTTATAATAAAGAGTCGAATATTTTATGTAATCTATTGACTACTGTACTGAGAATAAAAAACGGAATAGCTCACTACTGCTTCCCAGGATCACAAGAGCATCATTCAAATGCTCTGAGAAGAGATAAAAATTCAAAATTTGAAGTAAGGTTCCTACTGAATGTGCCTTACTATTGCACCACTGTAAAGTTAAAAAAAAAAATCTTTTTTTTTTGGAGAGGTTTTTGCTATAGGGCGCATGCGCTCGCCAGACAGACAGAGAGACAGAAAGCGAGAAATCACCCCCCAGGGGGGATGGTCATGCCACAATCCCTTCTCCTCCATTCTCCTCTCGGGATCTTGGGCATGCATGCACATGTGCTGGGCGTGAGTTTTAAGCCACTGGGTCCGGGACGCGAACCGCTGGCGACTATGTGGGAGTCCAGCGACATAGCCATTATGCCAACTGCTGGTCCCCCCCCCCAAAAAAAAATCATTAAGTCAAACCATTTTAAGTTAAGGACCATCTATAGTTAAAATTTGGTTACTGAGTTATTCCAATTTCTAGAGCAGATTTTAGAATATAGAATTATAGTATCGCATTGGACTGACCTAATGTCTATCGACTGGGCAGAGGGTGCTTACGACACATTCCTAGCCTAAGATGCAACTTCCCTTCTGCTGACTCCCTGCTCATATCTGGATGGCGAACTGTACCATTTCCAATTTCATGAACTCAGCATGTTCTTATGTAGAAATAGGGCCATTTATGTTCTACTTTTACTTTGAGATTTTTAAATATCTTTCTATTGTCGCTAAAGTGTCATCAAATAAGCATGAGATATTTCATATTTTTCTAGCATTGGTGCTCAAATACAAATAAATTTTTATGGTACTAATGGTGCCAATTCAGTGGGACTCCTTTGAGCTTGAGGGGTATTTATAAAAGGATAATTAGAAGGATCTGTATATAATAAGATGCCAAGAGCCCATAGGATAAAGATAAAGGAAACCTTCAAAGAACATCATGTTGGTTATAGGATTTGGGTGCTTTAGAACACACTGGAGGAGGCAGAATTGAGAGTGGTTTGAAAATAAAACATTGGAAGTTGTTGGTAGGTTTATGAAGTTAATGCCAGCAGGATATACTTGTGAATATGGCTTGGTAATTCATAGCCCCAGTCAGTAACAGGAACACTATCCCTCAGTTCCTCCCTGCCCCCAGCTTCAGTCATCAGCTTCTCCTTGGATTTCTATATATGTGAATCACATGAAGAAAAATCCACGTGAAGTACAAAATGTCATACCTGATCCTTGGCAGAGTCTTGGTAAATTACATCTATCAATATAATTGTTATTGCCACATCATTATTGTTATTGTTACAAGCAGTAATATCACATGTCACAGGAGCTAGCATTTTCCATTGGTTTGTTCCATTCGACATGAACTCATACTTTACTTACATAAGTTACTCTTTTTAAAATAAATCTTTGACATAACTCCACCAGATATAAAAGTAACTGCAGCATATCTGACTGTTTCCGAGAAGCAATGTGACTGAAATATCTATGACCCAACAAATCGTTCAACTTCTAAAAGGATGTAGGATTAAGTCTGGGGAGTTTGATCTAACACTCAAAACTACTGGGAATTAGTGAGCTAATCCTTGGTGGAAATATTGAACAATTTTATGAATACAAACTTTATTCAAACCATGACATAGAGATCTTCCTAAGCTACTGGGTAGTGGTAAAATTTTAGATTTCAGGGAAACATTTGGGAGTCACACATTGGTTAAATTAAACATTGATTAGCATTTTAAAACAAATCTCCCCATTTGTAAGACTTTGATACTGACCTTCCTGGGAATTTCTTGTTTCTGGTACTGGAGTTTGAGTTCGGTCCAGCTCACTAATATGATAAAGATCATCAAATTCTCCCCAGCGCGTCATTCCCCTGAAAAGTAATAAATCTTGTAAATGACACCAACTCCTTCATATTGAAGCCTATGATGGCTTTCAGATTTACAATATTAATAGAGTACTTGTGGGCTCCTGTAGGTGATATGTAAGTCAAAGTTTTAACAATTTTATAATATTCTGTTTTTTTTTTTTTTTTAAGGTTTTTGCCTTAGTGTACATGTGCAGCAGGGGGAAGGAGAAGAGAGAGAGATAGTGAGAGGGAAAGTGAGACATCACCCCCTCATGGGGATGACCACATGACATCTCTTCTCCTCCATTCTCCTCCTGGGATCTTGGGCATCTGCATACATGTGCCTGGAGTGATTTTCAAGCCACTAGATCTGGGACTCGAACCAGTCAGCCACATGGGAGTGCAGGGACATAACTGCTACACCTCTACAACATAACTGCTACACCCCACAATTTTATGATATTTAAAAAATTATATTCAGGGAACCAGCAGTTAGCGTAATGGCTATGTCGCTGGACTCCCACAAGTCGACTGCGGTTCGTATCCCAGACCCGGTGGCTTAAAACTCACGCTGGGCGCGTGTGTGTGCGTGCCCAAGATCTCGAGAGGAGAATGGAAGATCCCGAGAGGAGAATGGAGGAGAAGGGATTGCGGCGTGGCCATCCCCCCTGGGGGTGATTTCTCGCTTTCTGTCGCTAATGTCTCTGTCTGTCTGGAGAGCGCATGCGCCCTATAGCAAAAACCTCTCCAAAAAAAAAGAAAAAAAAATTATATTCAAACCAGAGTGGTCAGCAGGTGTTTTAAAAATCCAATATTTTTAATATACCTCGATGCCATAATTCAGTTACACTCTGAAACACAAGGTTGACTAGGTACTGTAAAATGCATGTACAAATGGGATTAGTAGAAGCCAATATGATCCACTTTATGGAAAGTTGATAGTGTTTATTCTGCCAATATATACTGAGTATGTATTGTACTCAAGGTATCTGCTAGGTAGGGTGGCTCTAAATAAGAAGGTAAGTACCTATCAAGAGATCTTGATTGCCACATAGAATACAATGTACAGAATACAATGTACAGAACAGGAAAATGTATGAGAAACTTCTTTACTAGGAATTGATGGCTTCATCTGGAATACTAGCAATGTTAAATGCATTCTAGCGCCAAGAGTAAACCAAACTGGATAAGTGTCGAATTTGACACTCATCTTTATTTCATTTATCTGACCTTGACCAAGATACTTATCCTCTGTGCGTTAGTATCCTCATCTGTAAAATGGGGATAATAGTATGAGGGAACAATTAGAACAAATGGGGAACAATTTAGACTATCTTGACTCAGAATCTAATTACTCTTACAGTAGATAAAATTGTCCATTTCCCTGAATCTATATAGCAGGTTGGTAATCAAAAGGGTGCAGGTATAATTATCACAGAAAGAGGGTTGGCAATGGGAATGATGGGTTATTGTGAGGATGAAGTGAGTTAATTTGCATAACACTCATGAAAAGAGTGTTCTGCACTTATTGTGTGTTAGGAATCCCCGTGATCATCCTCACCTTCATCATCACCATTATCACCATCACCTCTATCCATGTTCTGATGGGCCGGGCACCAATAGGAATCCATGGCATCTCTGGATCTCTCTAGCAAGTGGACACTATTATTATGTGCCTTAGTCTTTCTGAGGGCCTCTTCCAGAATGGCTGTTTTCCTTAGGATCAAGAAATAATTACCTCTAGGGAGTTTGTAGCATGAACGCTGCCCAAATATCACTAGTGGCAACAAAAAAGTGCTTATTAATACTAATGGTAGTAAATATTAAAAAAAAATCACATATCTTTTTCTTTGTTGACCTTTGAATTCTTCTGATGTCTTCTTGCAGCTATTTTATCATCTGAACCTTACAATAGCCTTTTTTTTTTTTGGAGAGGTTTTTTTGCCATAGGGCGCGTGAGCTGGCCAGACACAGAGAGAGACATAGAAACAGAAAGCGAGAAATCACCCCCCAGGGG